ACCTCAACCGCAAGGATCCGATCGCAGTGTGCACCCCTGGACCTCAACCGCAAGGATCCGATCGCAGTGTGCACCGCTGGACCTCAACCGCAAGGATCCTATCGCAGTGCGCACCGCTGGACCTCAACCAGATAGTTTGCCAGATAAAATGCCAGATTGAATGCCAGGTAGATTGCCAGATAGAATGCTGCAAGAAGATATGCCAGATAGTATGCCAAATAGTGTGTCAGATAGATTGCTAGATACATTGCCAGATAGAATGCCAGAAAATATGCCAGATAGAATGCCAGAAGATACGCCAGATAGAATGACAGATAGTATGCCAGACAAAATGCCGGATAGTATGCCAGACAGTATGCCAGATAAAATGCCAGATAGAATGCTGCAAGAAGATATGCCAGATAGTATGCCAAATAGTGTGTCAGATAGATTGCTAGATACATTGCTAGATAGAATGCCAGATAATATGCCAGATAGAATGCCAGAAGATATGCCAGATAGAATGACAGATAGTATGCCAGACAAAATGCCAGAAGATATGCCAGATAGAATGCCAGGTGGGGATCACTCGAAGTAAAGTAATTGTATTTTTTGGTTTTCTCTTAAACTTTGTCGCGCAGCAGACATTCGTGATAAGTTGCGCAGTCTTTTTAATATATTGCATGTCTGACACGGATGCATAGATTTCAGGGTTTGTACAACGGCTGTTGCCAAGTACTGGCGCCACTGTGCTTCCGACAGTATCGCTAAACGCAAGTCCTGCGTAGAAAATTCTTTATAGAAACCTTTTTTTAAAAGCCATTGACATTTGATCAAAACGACTCTGCAAAGGCTACCCCTCATAAAGCCACCATACCCTAAATAAATAAAGTGCACCCCAAATAAGCAAAACATGTTTGTTGCCTGTTCTAAGAGTCTGAATAAAGATGCATATATTTCCTTATTAAACTCCTTGTAACCCCTTTCTGTTCTAAGTAAAAACTCATTTCACTTATTAAGCTCCTTTCTTGAAGCCACCATACCCTAAATAAAGTGCACCCCAAATAAACTAAACATGTTTGTTGCCTGTTCTAAGTATCCAAGTAAAGATTCATTTCATTTCCCTATTAATCTCCTTTCTTAGAATTCCTTTTCTGTTCTAAGTAAAGATTCATGTCATTTCATTATTAAACTCCTTTCTTGAAGCCACCATACCCTAAATAAAGTGCACCCCAAGTGAAGCAAACCATGTTTGTTGCCTGTTCTAAGAATCTAAGTATAGATAGATCATTTCTATTTCCTTATTAAACTCTTTTCTTAGAATTCCATTTCTGTTCAAAGTAAAACCGCATTTCACTTATTAAGCTCCTTTCTTAGAATTCCTTTTCAGTTCTAAGTAAAGATTCATGTCATTTCCTTATTAAACTCCTTTCTTGAAGCCACCATACCCTACATAAAGTGCACCCCAAATACAGCTAAACATGTTTGTTGCCTGTTCTAAATATCTAAGTAAAGATTCATTTCATTTCCCTACCAATATCCTTTCTTTCAATTTCGATTGCCTCCAACCTCATAGCGATGGCCTCCACCCTAGTTGCGATGGCCTCCAACCTACTAGCGGTGGCCTCTAACTAGCCATGCCAGCGATGGTCAACCTACTAGCGGTGGCCCCCACTAGTAGCGGAGTAGCGATTGCCTCCAACCTTATAGCGATGGCCTCCACCCCAGTAGCGATGGCCTCCAACCTCATAGCAATGGCCTCCACCCTAGTAGCGATGGCCTCCAACCTACTAGCGATGGCCTCTAACTAGCCATGCCAGCGATGGTCAACCTACTAGCGGTGGCCCCCACTAGTAGCGGAGTAGCGATTGCCTCCAACCTTATGGCGATGGCCTCCACCCTATAGTAGCGATGGCCTCCACCCTAGTGGCCCTAGTAGCGATGGCCTCCAACAAACTAGCGATGGCCTCCAACCTAGTAGTGATGGCCTCCAACCTAGTATGGCCTTGCCAAACAAAAACGTTTGTGTCAATTTTTGAAATGTCTTGCAGTCTGTATCATTGCAAGTCCAGGAGAGACGGAAAAGAGTTGTACTTTGAGAACCAAACTCTTCCAAATTAGCTCCACTTCAATGTAGCTTTTGACCAACAGAAATAGAAACAAAAGTTGACCCCACTACTATAGACATAGTTAGTAGAGTTCTGAGTTTCCGAACATTTCAGCTTCGCGCCAAGGCTCCCAAATGCCCACCATGGCATGCTTCCACTTGCAGGCGCATCGCGTTCAAAGCTCGAGTCCACAATGGCTCCGCAGCCCCATCCAAGGCCGAAACTGCCGAAGGTGTGCTGTGTCCTGGGAAATGAAAGCTGGTTCATCAAGACCCTGCGAAACCGCTTGGACGATGCAATGGTAAACAAGCCTCAAAGAATATAAACAATTTGCAACACCGGGCCAATTCTGGAGGCTTGCCGTGGCCACAAAGCATATCCTAAAGATGAAACTTGACAGTTGCACTGGCTAAGCCTGAGATGGCGACCTGAGCATTTTGCTTCAGCTGTGCATCCCGCGCGTTCCAACTGTCTGTGAGTTTACTGGTCTTGGATAAATCGGAAGCCCTCAATGTGCCATTGCGCCCCTCCGATTCCGACCATGTCCTCCAGTGTATCCAAGCGCGAAGTTTCCACCGCGACCACTTTGGGCCGTCGCGACGCTGCGGGGGTCGAAGGAGTAGCCGTCACTTGAAGCGGCGATCTTTTCAACCACTTTGGGCTCTGCCTCGGTCTTCATGGCGCTACTTGGGGTGGATACATTGTGAGTTTGTCAGTCCAGATAGAGGGCGCAAAGGATTGCAAATACAAAGCCTAGGTCTAGTCAGTTTCGACACCAGAACCGGTGCATGTTCCCACCAGAACCGGTAACCCGGTACCATCTACAGTACTTGGGGAAAGCGCAATTCTGTCGTGCTGTGCCACAACAATAAAAGTGGTATGCGGAGAAATCGTGAGGGGTGTGTCGCAAGTTGGGTTGCTAAAGCTTTGGACTTCTCTCCAACATTTTTCCCAAAATGCTCAGGAGGCTTCTGGCTTCACCATTTTTGAGAAGGTCATCCAAAGACAAAGAACAAAGCTGCGGAGTTTCACAATTAACATCGCGATGCATCCACCAGAATTGCTCGTGGACACGGCAAGAGTCGGGGTGCGAAGAAATCTGTGTAGCCTATCAGGGTCGTATGCTTCTGGTGGGTCTAACTCAACTTGTAATAAGAAACTACGAACGGAACAAAGGGCATCGTTACTAGGAGCAAGAAACTACTAGTAGTTTCTGGCCTTACTACTAGGAACAAGAAGCTAGGAACAAGGGCATCGCCACTAGCAAAGAGACGAAGAGACGAGAGGCGAAGACTGTCGAAGTTTCTCCACAAGTCTCTATGGCCAGACATCAAAGTTTTCCGGACTAACTCTCTGATCCTCCAGTCTCGAGCATTGTACGTCAAGCAATGTCGACCCAAAAAGGCGGACTTAGACACATGATGACACCTTAGTCAGTCTCCACTCCTGGACGCTCTTGAAAGAGCGCAGGCCACAGGGCTTCTCCGATTTGGCAGCCCGCTTGCCCCACGTGCAGGAAGACAGTGGACATTGGACAGGGCCATGGCGGCCATGGGGAACGCAACTTGGAACCCGCTCGCTATAGCTATACATAGCGCTTGGCTATACTGTATGCTTTCCATGCTTACTATCCTTGCATATCAGTGTCCGAGTGGTTCTCATCACCCGAGTCGTTATTATACCTTTAAACAAACTCTGACTCTGAGCTCCAAACAAAACCAGCATCGACAAATGGAGACCAAAACGCATATTCTAAACGTCCTTCCGCAGCCCAACGCTGTATTTAAAAGAGCCGAACATCCAAGATCTACCGGTGGGAAGGGCCCTTCCCCTGAACATTGCTTCAAAATAGGCAATTTGTGTCTGTTGACACCCTCAGCTCAATGGGTCAGTATCTGCGTCGATGTCCATGAGCCGCTTTGCCATGATTTTCAATAGTCTTGCAACTAAACATGCTGCAGCAACTCAGGAGAAGCCAAGTTGATCGATGACATGTATCGAGTCAAGACCCCACTGTGGCCTAAATTTGGTTCTTTGTGCTGCATCACTCATTAAAGCTTTGGCGTCAGCCTAGCCAAGCATGCTCACAGAAACAATCCGAACTTTGCTGAAGAAGCTCCATGTCTTGTGTCATCGGACGAGATGGAGAAGATGGAGTGGCTTGGACCTCAACACGAAACGCAATATCGGGTTGGAGGCCATCGCTCGTAGGTTGGAGACCATCGCTAGTAGGCCGGAGGCCATCGCTAGTAGGCCGGAGGCCATCGCTAGTAGGTTGGAGGCCATCACTCTTAGGTTGGAGGCCATCGCTACTAGAAACAAAGAAGAAATAAAAGGCATAATGATCTTTTCTAGTGTGCTACTAGGCTAAACGCCACAGCCTCACGGGTTCCCTCGAATCAATGCTCTCACTTCTTCGGCTTCATTCCGTGCTTTTCTCGTTGCGGACGAAACGTCTGACCTTCAAACCTTTGAACACGACATGTTTTTTCCCCAAGCAGTGGCACACTGAGGGGTTCTTACGGTAGGGGAAAAGAAGGCGTGCTGAGGCGCGCGGGCGTGAACGGCTAATTCGTTGCTATTTACAGTACATTCATGCCTCTCGACATCGTCCATGTGCACTTCGACTGCGCAGGCTCGCAGAATCTGGGTGGCTGGAGCATGCGCTTGTCACGACTGCTTTCGTGGCAGGCGCAGGGGAAACCTTGTGTTTTGGTGCTCCAAAGTCGACTTTTCGTGACAGGTGCAAGGGATCGGAGCTGTTTTGCTTCGAAATGCAGTTTTCGTGGCAGGCACAGCACTTTGGACATGGTGGTGATCGTCGAGGAGCTCAGATTTCGTGACAGGTGCAGTGAATCGTGACTTTTGGACATGCGCCTCGTTTGCAGATTTCGTGGCAGGCACAGCACTCTGTGACCCTCGATGTGCAGATTTCGTGGGCAGGTGCAGCACTTTGTGAACCTCGAAGTGCAGATTTCGTGGCAGGCGCAGCACTTCATGAACCTCGAAGTGCAGATTTCGTGGCAGGTGCAGCACTTGGTGGACCTCGGAGTGCAGATTTCGTGACAGGTACAGCACTTTGTGAACCTCGACGTGGAGATTTCGTGGCAGGTACAGCACTTTGTGAACCTCGAAGTGCAGATTTCGTGGCAGGTGCAGCACTTGGCGAACCTCCAAGTGCAGATTGCGTGGCAGGCACAGCACTTTTTGAACCTCGAAGTGCAGATTTCGTGGCAGGCACAGCGCATGGTGAACCTCGAAGTGCAGACTTCGTGGCAGGCACAGCGCTTGGTGAACTTCGAAGCGCAGATTTCGTGGCAGGCGCAGTACTTTGTGCTCTCAGATGCTCACTCTCTCACTCTCCCACTTTCACTCACGCTCACACTCCCTCACACTCCCACTCTCGCTCTCACTCACACTCGCACTCACACGCACACTCACTCACCCACACACTCTCACACTCACTCTCACCCACACTCATTCGCGCCCACCTTCACTCTCACTCACTCTCACTCTCACTCTCACCCACACTCACTCACACCCCATTCACTTCATCACCGCCATCACCTCTCTGGACCCCAATGCATCTAGATCTCTAGACTTTCTGCTTACAGACCTCACACACACTGTTTGGGGTCTCTCGCCGGGATAATCTTTCCACATGCTAGAGAAGACTAGCACGTTATAGCTTTACTGACATTCGTAGAGACAGTGATTCAAATGTCTTTACTCGGATTCCATTGACTAAGAATGATATGTGGCGAACTGTGTCCGCTTTGTGTACGGCGCCGATCATTTCGAACGCTTGGACATGGTACTAATCCCTCTGATCCCCGAGTCCACTTGCGCCAATCAGCACAAAACTCAAGCGAAAATCAAGACAACTCGTCGAACAATGCTCAACATATCTCAACATACACTGCTGTCGTAAAGGACCAAAGGTCACAAGTGAGAGCTCCGAACACTCCCCTGAGGGACTCCCCTGGGGTCCCCACGTTCCACTACCTGGAGGGAAACGTGAACGCCCTTGGAAAGCCTACATTGGAGAAGCGACCCTTACATAAACAATATTACGCCATATGACAGCCACAAACCATGCTTAGACAGCTAGTGTGTTCTGCTCTCGTTCCTTGAGGACAAGCTGGCTGTTCAAGGTGACATTGACATGGACAAAAAAGAAAAACATATGCCGTCCATAGCTGCACTCAACTGCACAGAGCATGGAACTCTGGCCTTCGTAAAAATCGACCCTTCCGCCAAGTGTGGCTCCTCCTCGCCCATGAGCAAGGAATGGGCTGCGTCTGTTGGCAGAGCAAACCAAACCTCAAGCCATCTGGAGACCACGTCGCTTCCCGGAAGCCTCCAACCCATTAGCAACAGCCTCCAACCTGCTACCGATGGCCTCCAACCTACTAGCAATGGCCTCCAACCTACTAGCGATGGCCTCCTAGCGACCTCCAACCTGGCTATGGCCTCCATCCTAATAGCGATGGCCTCCAACCTAATTAGCCATGGCCTCCAACCTACTAGCAATGGCCTCCAACCTACTAGCGAGGGCCTCCAGCATGGCCTCCAACCTACTAACGATGACCTCCAACCTACTAGCAATGGCCTCCAACCTACTGCTAGCGATGACCTCCAACCTACTAGCGATGGCCTCCAACCTACTACCAGCGATGGCCTC